GGGTCAAACTCAAAGATTTATGCTAAAATAGAAAAAACAAATGCAAATGCAGGTTGTTGTATGTTAGAATAATGTATAGGTTAAATACTTTTTTTTATCCTTCTATTATTGAAAAAGTTATTTTTTATTTTTGTATTGAAATTTTTTTTTTTAGTTTTTAAAAATTAAAATTTCACTCCTTTTTACCATTTTATTAAATTTTTTTTTATAATTGACAATTAATTAATAAAATTATGTGACGTGAAAAGTTCATTTCATAAAAAAAGAAAAAGAAAAAAAAGACCCTGGACATATTTTAAAGTTCTCGTCAACATCTTCATCCCTTTCTTGCTTTTTTTTAAAAAAAAACTTGGCTAGGTTCGCCGCAAACCCACCCAGACGCATGCTGGGTTTGCGACGAGCTCGCGCTCAAACCCAGGTGAGCGTTGGGTTCATGACGAGCGTGCGCCCGAACCCAAGCGAGCGCTGGGTTCGTGACGAGCACACGCTCGAACCCAGGCGTGCGCTAGGTTCGCGACAAGCGCGCTCCCGAACTCGGGCGAGCACTGTGTTCGCGACGAGCACGTGCCGAACCCAGGGGTGCGATGGGTTTGCGACAAGTGTGCTCCCGAACCCAGGCGAGGGCTGGGTTTGCATGAGTACGTGCTGGGTTCGCGATGAGCAAGCGCGCCTCCGAACCTAGGCGCGAGCTAGTTTCACAATGAACCCAACTGGCGCAACCGAAGACAAACCCAAGCGCACGTTGGGTTCTTCGCGAGCCCAGGCGCACACTTGGGTTCGAGTGTGGGCTCGTCGCGAACCCAGCGCGCGCCTAGTTGGTTTCGCAACAAACCGAGCGAGGTTAAAAAAAAAAATAACCAAAAGGGTGAAGATGTTAAGATGGACTCAAAAATATGTTCACGTCAATTTTTTTACAAAGTGAATTTTTATATCACAAAATTACGTTAATTAATTGTTATTTGTCAAAAATTTTAATAAACGGATAAAAGGAATTAGATTTCAATTTTTAAGGTTAAAAAAAAGATTTTCTCAGTATATAAATCAAAGAAAAAATTTTTCAATAACAGAAAGATCAAAAAGAGTATTTAACTTAATGTATATATAGTTCAGGTCATTTTCCAAATCACATTTAATTTTGTTTCGAAGACTCGAAGGTGAAAACAGTTATTTAGTATTATCTCAATCATTTCTTGCAATAATTAATTTAAGAATGGTTAAGGGTGGCCACTGGCCAGCCAAAATTAAAGGAGAGAAAAAAAGAAAAAGAAAAAGAAAAAAAGGAGATCTACAAAGGCATCTTCCTGTCTTCATACTCAGAATTCCCAATTGTCAACAACCTGGTGGAAGCATCCGGCGTGGTCGCTCGTGGTTAGGAGAAATGTTTCATCCTTGAACAGATATGAGATTTCTTGCCACTGCTACTCAGTAGGGTCAATCCCAGTTGGATTGTGGGCACAAGGATGAAGCAAGAAAAAAGAACCATTTGGAGCATTCCTTTGGTCACATAATCAGCTTCCTCTTTGTGTGAGCATGGATAGTAACAAATGAAACAGCAGTTTGGAAATAAATAATTTTATTAAATACTTTTTTAATTATTTGGATAAAATTACTAACCGTTATTTCTAAATTTATATACTAAACAAGTTTCATATGACATTATGAGTATATGATAGAAGAAGTTATTTTATAATTACTTTTTAATTTAAAAATTTATTTGTAATATTATATATATATACTCTTTTAATGGTAAAATACATTTATTCAATGTCATAT